ATACATTTTCCTAGTCTCTGTTTTTCTGAAAATGTCATTATTTCTTTTGGCATCGTTGTGGCAAATAATCTTTTATGAATATATTGTCTTTGTGAGAAGATTTTTATCTTTTTATTTCATGTTTTCCTGTCTTAATACATCTAGTATAGTTCTATTTTTATATATTTTCCTCAGAACTCCTGCGCTTCTAGATATAAAATGTATATTTTCCTTGAAATGTAAAACATTCTCTCTTATTATCTCTTTAAATATTGCTGGTAGTTTATTTCACTTATATTATCCCCTCCTTCTAGAATTCACTTTTCAAGGAATCAGCTTACTCCATCTTTCACATCTCTGGGCTGATCTTTGTACACCTTTTCCTTTCATTGCTGCATTCTTTTTGATTTCTTTGGAACTACCTTCTAATTTACTAATTTTCAGTGATCTGTTTATTCTGTGCTTTATTCTGCCCATTGAGTTACTTTCAATGACATTTTTCACTTAGAGAATTCCTACATACGCTCTTAAATCACTGTCCACACTGACTTATCTTTTTATTATGGTTTTCTTTTACTCCTTTATCTCTTTATTACTTTGACACATACTTATATCATTGTTCTTTTCAGAAAAATGTCCTCTTTCTAGTTTTAAAGGCACTCATTCTATTTGATTTGTTGACTCTCCCTCATTGTAGTTCATTATTTTGGTTGGTTGGTTTATAATTCTGATTGTGGTGCTGTTTTTACTGTGGGAGTTGTAAGATCCCTGTGTTGTGAAAGTTTCCCTACTACAACAACTTTACATTTGCTGCTAAAAAGTAGGACTTTAATGGTCTTGAAAAGTTATTTAATTTCTTTGCTTGCAATTCCCACACTAGGCAGGTAGTACAGATTTGGATTGCACACCTGTGTGTGCATAGGCCTGACATTTCAATATCTCATTATTGTCTTTCCCCTCTCCCCTCCCCTAGAAAGCTTTTTCTTTTTTTACAAAACTATTGAGTATGTTAGTTTCTATCAAATGGAAGGGACAGCTCTCTGAGGCTCTAGGCTCTATGTAGGGACCTAGTTCTAGATGCTTTCCTCAGGTACAGTCCAGTATCCTGTCTCCTACTTTGCATGGAGGTGAGACCTCGAGCCCACCCCAAATATCTCCAACCATCAAGCTTCCTCAGTTGGCACGTAGAGACTTCAAATTTTCCTTCTTTGTCTAAGGTTACCTAAGTATTAAGATTAGTTTTAGATTTATCTTAGGAAACATGTCTTCCACCCAGACACACACACACACACACATACACACACACAGCCTGACTAAATCTTTCTGTTCCCAGGCCTCAGTTTAGATGCATTTTCTCCAGGAAATGAGCTCCTCCTCTCCAGAAACAGCAGGAAGTACCCTTTCCATGTGCCCCAGGGTTCTTATCTGTCAGAACATTTCTCACTGACTACTGCAACAGACTCAGATCCTTAAGGACAGGATTGAGTATTGCCCCCCATTTATGCCCAGCAGTTGGGACAAAGCCTAACTCAAGCTGGGCACTCTTTACACATGCTGTGATCACCTCCTTGGGCTGGACAGGACCCTGGATGATGGGATGTGCAGTGCAGTTAAAGACCAGGTTTTTCTTGGGAGAGGAGACCTTCATCACCTGCCCCCATGTGGCTTCATTTCAATTTCAGTTAGTGCATTTATCATGGTAATTTTGTTTCCAGGACTTTCTCCCATGGACTGTGAGTTTCCTGTGTGCAGGTAAGGAAAAAAAAGTTTAACATTTGTTGAGTATTTTTCCTGTTCCTTGTCCTATTCTATGGATTTTTATACATTATCTCATCAATCATCACAAAAACTCCATGAGGTAGGTCTACTGACCCATTTTGTAGAAAAAGAAAAAGAAAAAATCAAAAACAGAAACTTAAGTCTCTAAGTTGTTCAGACTTTCATTTAAGGTCATATTGTTAGTGAGTTGTTTTTTTTTCATCCCACTCCAGCAGATCTGGCTTCAGACAAGCTCTTTTCATCAAGATGACCTGTGATTAATATTGCCATCCTATTAAGCCCAGAGCCTGGAGGATTAGGAATTATAAGTGCTTGTGGAGTACAGGGTAAGACGAGGGGCACAGGTGCTGCTTAGAATGAGCGTGGAGAAATGAACCTCCTGCCACATCAGTGTTTCCTGGGAGCTTGTTGGCAATGTCCTACCCAAACCCACTTAATCAGAATCAGCATTTTAACAAAACCTTATGTGATTCATGTCACATTTCCATCTGAGAAGTGCTGGCATAGAAACAATCCAGAATACATATACAAGGACATTGGAACCAGAGGGTGTGAGATGGAGCATGGTGGGGCTGAGAGTGGGACTCAAGGTTATTCTCTTCCACTGTTTGCTGCCTGTCAGGAGCATGAAAGTTTTCCCTCTTGAGGGACCTGTAGGCCAAATGTTAATTAACTTCAGTCTGTTCGCTAATATGAGACTTCCAAACTGAGCATTCCTGAGACACCTGAGGCCTTTCCTTATTTAATGTTCCCAGAAAAGACAGGCTTTGTCCACAGACCCACCATAAACAGAGGACTTTCCAAGAAGAGGGCTGGACTAGTCACCCCCTCCCTGGCTGCCCTGGTCCCATGTTTTCTTTCTTGTATTGCACTGGATCCGAAGGCCCCTCTGGTGGCTCCGGATTTGAAGAGAGAGCCAGGCTGTGAGGAAAGAGGGGCCCTATGTTAGTCTGCTCAGGTGCCATAACAAAGTACCACAGGCTCAGGGAACTTTACAGACGTTCATTTCTCAGAGTTCTGGAGACTGGAAATCCAAGACCAAGGTATTGGTACATTTGGTTTTATTTTAGGCCTTTGCCCTTGGCTTGAGAATGGAAACTTCTGGTTGTGTCTTTATCTGGCCTTTTCTCTGTGCCTGCCTGTGTCCCTGACATATTTTCTTCATTTAAGAACACAGCGCTATTGGATTAGGCCCCACCCTGATGACCTCATTTAACCTTAATCTTCTCTTTAAGGGCCCTGTCTCCAAATATAGTCTCACTCTGAGGTACTAGGGATAGGGCTTTAATGTACAAATTCTGGTGGGTCACTGCTCACCTCATCACAACACCAAGTTTTCCATGCAGGAGGGTACTCACAGCAGCTTTCTTTATATGGTGTGTTCTATAGCAGCAGTTCTTCCTGATGTGGTACCTGCCATACTCTTGCAGATTCTGGCCTGTAGGAGATGAGGTAAGTGAAGGATGTACAAAAGAGAGGGAAAGTATGAGGGAAAGAGAGGGAAAGGCTGTATATATAGTTTCTCTTTGGTCAAATCCACAGTTTTCTCTAATAAAGCCCCTGACAGCCTTAACTTCTGCTCTGGACCATTTATAGCTGTTGTAGCCATGGCATTAGACCTCCCCTTCAGCTCAGGGCAAAATTCAATCCCAGCTTCTTCTTGCTGTTTTTTAGTTAGGATGCTTATTTTTACCCTGAGTACATTCCACCAGCTGTAATTCCAATGACTTTGAAAAACTCTTTCCAAGACATTTTAAAATCCACAATGTATAAGTCCCCTGAGAAGACTTGTGACGTGCTCTGGGAATTCCTCAGTCCATTGTGTTCTCAGTCTTGCTTAAAAGGGGGACAGGAGTATAATTTATTTTTGAGAAGACTGAAGTCTTCAAATATACCCCCTAGCTAGTTGAAAGTCTGAAAAAAATCTCATGTGTATTTCACTAGTTTTCAAAGTTCTGATGACTATAAATGCTTGTATTGAGATTTTTGTTTGATTTCTTCTTATTTCCTATGATATTTATTAACAACTGATAATTAAAATATACAATGACTCAGAAGAGGTTTTAAACTCTGGAGCAAATTAAAATTGATAAAGACAAACCAACAAGAAGAGAGTTTGTAACTTTACCTTGAGAGAAAAGAAGCCTTGACATATCCTTACGGCTTAAGGAAACACTTTCACTACTTAGAGCTTGAAAGCACTAGTATCAAGACAATCACCTGAAGTAATTCCAAAGTGGGGATTTAACAGAAGTTCTCAAGCAGCAGCAGGCCATGAAGGTGAAGCCAACCTTGGCCTGAAACTTCTGAGGATGCTCAAAGGGCCGTGCAGCTCTGCAGCTCCAAAAACATTGCCTTAGTTAGCAATTCCTTCCACAAACAGGCATACGTTCTCAGTTATCTCATATTGGTTCTGTCTTAAATATAATTGTAGGGTTTAGTTAGATATGTATAGAAAAGGAGGGAATATAATCAGACTACGTCAAACTTTGAAAAGAAGCAGAGAACAGTGTCAGGACCTGCTGAACTGAGGATGCAGAGGAGAGCCTTCCACTGCTACCCACAGGTTTTCCTTCTTTAGAAAGTTACCACACTTTTTTTTTTTTTTTTAACTGTTTCCTTTGCTGAGGTGGCCAACTGTTAGGAACTCAGATAATTCTCTTAAAATGGGCTGCTGGAAGAAGTACCTTCCAGCCATTGCTCAGATTTCAGAACCAAACCTAAAGAGCAACAGAGGATCATCTTTCTTTAGTCATTGGGGAGACTAGGCTCTGGCCTGGTCAAGGATCTCCAATTCAGAATGAAATTTTCTGGTCACACTTGGAGGTCAAGGCCTACTTGGATTTGCCATTGACATTGGATTATGATTTGTTTTCCCCCAGTATCTTTGTACTTCTATGGATTTAGAAAGGGATGGACAGAGTTCCTGGAAGAAAAAGACCTGGGGAAACAAGCCTTGTAGGGGTGGGCAGGGAGAATGCCCTCTGAGCTCAGGTCTCAGTTACCAACGCTCACCCCACCCAAGACAAGTTGTGAAGACAGCCTGGTCTGACACCAAAGTCAAGAGTATGCTCTCTTTCAGAATTCCTGGGAATGTCTGTGGAGCAAAGTCCCGGGGCAACACTAAACCTCCCTGCTAAGAGGAATAGGAGAAGAAACTGTGTGCCATTGTACAGAAATCCAGTGTTAATGGGAAACAAATATAAATGTGACTGCCTTTGTCCCCTCAAGCTGATAAAGAGTAAGACTTGCTTGTTTGGTTATGTGGATATTTTTTTTTTTCACGGCACTCCTTGTTACTCTTCCGTCCACTGTGATATGGCCCTGGGCCTCTGAGATGCAAGTGTTAAGGTAATAAATATCAAGCTTATTGTATTCAATTCTTTTCTATTTTTATTTTTTTATTTTAATTACTTTATTTATTTTTTCAAATACATTTGCCTCTGCCTTCTCCCCACCACTTTCTCTTGTCCTCTCTCTACTCTCCCTCCCTCAATCCTTCCCCTTTGGTTTGGTGCATGAGTCCTTGCTATATGTTCCTTGACTTTCCCCTTCCCTTCCTTTTCCCCCGCCCACCTCTCCCTCTTTCCCTCTTGCCTCTGATGGTTTCTTTTCCATTCAGTGATGTTGGTCTTATTTTCTTTGCATATGTGTATTGTTGGTTAGGTTCCGCTTATAAGTGAGATCATATGGTATTTGCCTTTTGCCCTCTGGCTTATTTCACTTAGCATAATGCTCTCTAGTTCTATCCATGCTGTCGCCAAGTATAGTAGTTCTTTTTTTCTTTCTGCTGTGTAGTATTCAATTGTGTATATGTACCATAACTTTTTGATCCAGTCATCTACTGATGGGCCTTTAGGTTGCTTCCAACACTTGGCTATTGTAAATTGTGCTGCTATGAACATTGGGGTGCATAGGTTCTTTTGAATTGGCATTTTGGGATTCTTAGGGTATAGTCCCAGCAGGGGAATCACTGGATCAAAAGGCAGTTCCATTTTCAGCTTTTTGAGAAAATTCCACACTGCGTTCCACAGTGGCTGCATCAGTCTGCATTCCCACCAACAGTGTACTAGGGTTCCCTTTTCTCCACAGCCTTGCCAGCACCTGTTGTTTGTGGATCTGTTTATGATGGCCATTCTGACTGGTGTGAGGTGGTACCTCATGGTGCTTTTGATCTGCATTTCTCTGATGGATAGTGATGCTGAGCGTCCTTTCAAATGCCTCTGAGCCCTCTGTATCTCCTCCTTGGAAAAGCGTCTGCCCAGGTCCTTTGCCCATTTTTTGATTGGAACATTTGTCTTCTTGGAGTGGAGTTGTGTGAGTTCTTTATATATCTTGGAGATCAAACCTCTATCTGAGGAATCATTAGTAAATATATTTTCCCATACATTTGTCTCCATTTCATTTTGTGGATGTTTTCTTTAGCCATGTGGAAGCTTCTTATTTTGATGAGGTCCCACTTGTTTATTCTTTCCTTTATGTCCCTTGCTTTAGGAGACATAATCGGTGAAAAAAGTGCTGCGTGGGATATCTGGGAGTTTCCTGCCAATGTTCTCCTCTAAGATTTTTATGGTGTTGTGACTGATATTTAAGTCTTTTTTCCATCTTGAGTATATTTTTGTGTATGGTGTCAGCTGAAGATCCAATTTCAATTTTTTCCATGTAGCCGTCCAGCTCTCCCAACACCATTTGATGAAGAGGCTATTATTGCTCCATTTTATGCTTCTGCCCCCTTTATCAAATATTATTACCCATATACACCTGGGCTTAATTCTGGGCTCTCTATTCTGTTCCACTGGTCTATGGGTCTGTTATTGTGCCCGTACCAGATTGTTTTGAGTATAGTGGCTTTGTACTATAGTTTGATGTCCGGTATTGTGATCTCTCCTATTTTGTTTTTTGTTTTTTGTTTTTTGTTTTGTCAAAATTGCTGTGGCTATATGGGGTCTTTTATGGTTCCATATTAATTTTTTAAATGTTTGTTCTATTTTTGTGAAATATATCATTGGTATCTTAATGGAAATTGCATTGAATCTATAAATTACTTTGGGTAGTATGGACATTTTGATGATATTAATTCTTCCAATCCATGAGCATGGTATATGCTCCCATTTGTTTGTGTCTTCCTTAATTTCTTTCTTCAACATTGTATAATTTTCTGCAAACAGGTCTTTTACCTCCTTGGTTAAATTTATTTCTAGGGAGTTTATTTTTCTTGTTGCTATTTCGAGTGGTATTTTTTTTCTGATTTCTTCTTCTATTTCTTTGATGGTGTACAAAAATGCCTTTGATTTCTGAATGTTGACTTTGTATCCTGCTGTTTTGCCAAATTCACTTATTAGGTTGAGTACTTTTTTGGTGGAGTCTACAGGGTTCTCTATGTACACTATCATGTCATCTGCAAACAATGATAGTTTTACTTCCTCCTTCCCTATTTGGATGCCTTGTATTTATTTTTCTTGTCTGACTGCTGTAGCTAGGACTTCCAATATGATGTTGAAAAGAAGTGGTGAAAGCGGACATCATTGTTGTGTTCCCGATCTTAGCATAAAAGCTTTCAGTTTTTGCCCATTGAGTATGATGATGGCTATAGGTTTTACATATATGACCTTTATTATATTGAGGAATGCCCCATTTATTCCCATTTTGCTGAGTGCTTTGATCATAAATGGGTGCTGTACCTTATTGAATGCCTTTTCTGCATCTATCGAGATGATCATGTGGTTTTTGTCTTTTCTTTTATTTATCTGATGTATTACATTTATTGACTTGCGTATATTGAACCACCACTGCGTCCCTGGGATGAATCCCACTTGATCATGGTGGATAATCTTTTAATGTTCTGCTGGATGCAGTTCGTCAATATTTTGTTGAAGATTTTAGCTTCTATGTTCATTACTGAAACTGGCCTGTAGTTTTCTTTCTTTGTATGGTCTTTATCTGGTTTTGGATCAGGGTGATGCTGGCCTCATAGGAAGAGTCTGGGAGTCTTCCCTCCTCTTGGATTTTTTGGAATAGTCTGAGAAGGACAGGGGTTAGCTCTTCCTTAAATGTTTTTGAAAATTCTCCTGTGAAACCGTCCTGTCCCGGGCTTTTGTGTGCCTGGGGTTTCTTGATGACTGCTTCAATTTCCCCAGCTGTTATTGGTCTGTTCAAGCTTTCTGTTTCTTCCTCCTTCAGTGTTGGAAGGTTATACTTTATAGGAATTTGTCTATTTCATCAAGATTTTCAAATTTCTTGGCATATAATTGTTCATAGTAGTTTCTGACAATCCTTTGTATTTCTGTGGTATCAGTTGTTATTTCTCCTCTTTCATTTCTGATATTATTAATTTGGGTCCTCTCCCTTTTCTTCTTGATGAGTCTGCTTAAAGGCTTGTCGATTTTATTTATCTTTTCAAAGAACCATCTCCGGGATTGGTTGATCCCTTGGATTGTTCTTTTTGTCTCTATGTCGTTCAGTTCTGCTCTAATCTTGACTATTTTCTTCCTCCTATGTGCTATGGGATTTATTTATTGTTGTTTCTCCAATTCTTGAAGTTGTGGTGTGAGGTCCTTTATTTGAAATGTTTCTATCTTTTTTAGGTAGGCTTGTATTGCTATGAACTTCCTTCTCAGGGGTGCTGTTTCCCATAGTTTTTGGACTGTTGTCTGTTCATTTTCATTTGTTTCCAGAAACTTTTTGATTTCTTCTTTTATCTCATTGTTTAATAGTCTACTGTTCAGTCTCCATGAGTTTGCAAGTTTTTGAAGTTTCTCTTTGACATTGATTTCTAGCTTCAAACCCTTGTGGTCCGAAAAAAAGTTTGGTGTTATTTCAATTTTCCTGAATTTGCTGAAGCTTTCTTTGTGTCCTATCATGTGGTCTATTTTGAAAAAGTTTCATGTACATTTGAAAAGAATATGTATTTTTCTTCTTTGGGATGTAAGGTTCTATATATGTCAGTTAAGTCTATTTGATTCAGTGCATCATTCAGCTCCACAATATCCTTGTTGATGTTTTGTTTGGCAGATCTGTCCATTTTTGAAAGTGCGGTGTTAAAATCCACTACTATCAGTGTGTTGTTTTCTATCTTTTTTGAAGTCATCCAATATTTTCCTTATATATTTGGGTGCTCCTATGTTGGGTGCATATAAGTTTCCAATGTTTATGTCTTCTTGATCGAGTCTTCCTTTAAGTATTAAAAAGTGTCCCTCTGGGTCTTTTTTTATGGCCTTTGTTTTGAAATCTATTTTGTCTGATATAAGTATTGCAACTGCTGCTTTCTTCTCTTGACCCTTTGTTTGGAATATTTTTTTCCATCTCTTTCAATTTATGTAGGTCTTTCGCTCTGAGGTGGGTCTCTTGTAGGCAGCATATGTGTGGGTCATGTTTTCTTATACATTCAGCTATCCTGTGTCTTTTATTGGGGCATGTAGTCCATTTACATTGAGAGTTATTACTGATAGAAACCTATACATTTATTCGCATTGTACCTGTGTTTTTCTCTTTCTCACTCTTTTCCTTCATCTTCCTAAATCATTCCCTTTAGCATACTTTGTAGTGCTGGTTTGGTGGAGCTGTATTCTTTTAGCCTTCTTTTGTCTGGGAAACTCCTTATCCCCCCTTTTTATTTTAATTGAGAGCCTTGCTGGGTAGAGCAGCCTCAGTTGTAGGCTCGTGCTTTTCATTACTTGGAATATTTGTTGCCATTCCCTTCTGACTTGAAGTGTTTCTGTTGAGAAATCAGCTCCTTTCCATATCAGGGCTGCCTTGTATGTTACTCTCTGTTTCTCCCTTGCTGCCTTGAGGATTACCTCTTTGTCTTTGATATTTGCCCTTTTAATGATGATGTGTCTTGGAGTGGGCCTCCTTGGATCCCTCTTGAACGGGCTCTCTGTGCTTCCTGGATCCATGAGACTTTTTCTCTCCTCAAATTGGGGAAATTTTCCATCATTACTTTTTCAAAGCTGTTCTCTATCCCTTGTTCCTCTCCTTCTCCTTCTGGTTTCCCTATTATGCAGCTATTATTGCACTTCAGGTTGTCCTGCATTTCCCTAAACACCTCTTCATTCTTTTTGAGTCTTTTTTCCATTTCTTGTTCTTTCTGGGAGCTTTCTTCTACCTTATCCTCCATCTCACTGATTCGATCCTCGACTTCATCTAGCCTGTTTGTGATTCCTTCTACTGTGTTCTTCAATTCAGAAATGGTTTTCTTCATATCCTCTTGTGTCTTCTTGATAGTTTCTATGTCTTTTTCCAGGTTAATATAGTTTGGTGTAAGATCCTGATAGTTTCTCTGCAGTTTCTCATAGTTATCTTTGAGCTGCCTGAGCTCATTGAGCTTCCTTAGAGCCATTGTTTAGAATTCA